ACTGCCTCATAACCCCTAACCACTTGCGTGTCTGCCTGATCGCCCCTAACCACTCACCTGCCTGCCTGATCACCTTTAACTGCCTCTGCCTCAGCCCTCGCCACCATGGCTTTGTCCGGAATGACATCCAGAAGGTCGTTCGGCTGTTCAGTCTAATTAGCATATTACGTTTTTATTATTATAGGTTGCTGAGTATATCGGTTTCCCATCCAGGATAGAAAACTCTACATCTTAAGCTAAAATCTGTTTCCTTTCATTTTCTCTTTGGAGTCATACAAAACAAATGTACAATTTATTTCTTTTAACATCCCTTTCAATATTACTTATAGAATTAAAAGTACCATACCATTTATTCATTCAACTAAGATTGATTGTACAAATATGTGCTATGCACTGTGGCTAGGAACTCAGGAGACAATGCAAACAAGATAAAAGCAATCCCTGCTTGTATGGGCTTACATTCTAGAGCAGAACATTTAAAAAATAGACAAAATGATTTTATTCTGTTAAGGGCCATGAAGGAAGCAAATAAGAGAATGAGACAGTGAAAAGGAATGGACGTGGGAACCTACATTATATGGGAGACAGGGGCATCCAGAGAAGCTCTTCTGAGAAAGTGCCATTAAACTAATACCTTGAGGATCAAAAAGGAAAAAATATATCCCACGCAAAAGAAATAGCATACATAAGGAGACCCTAAGACAAGAAAGCACTTAGGGTGTTTCAGGAACTGAAAGAAAATCATGTGGCTAGACTACAGAAGAAAATAGTGTGAGAAAAGGTTTATGAGATAAACAGCTAAGATGGGGCAGGTCCTTGTTGACCATAAGAAGTCTGGATTTTATTTAATGTTACACCAAAATTCCTCTTCTTCAAGTTAAAGTTTTTCATGATACCATTCTTATCTCTTTTATTCCACGTCATCTTTTTCATGTAGAATAGTTAGTCTAACACAGTGGTCGGCAAACTGCGGCTCGCGAGCCACATTTGGCTCTTTGGCCCCTTGAGTGTGGCTCTTCCTAAGCCTTAGGAGTACCCTAATTAAGTTAATAACAATGTACCTACCTATATAGTTTAAGTTTAAAAAATTTCACTCTCAAAAGAAATTTCAATCATTGTACTGTTGATATTTGGCTCTGTTGACTAATGAGTTTGCCGTCCACTGGTCTAACACATTTAAAATTAAGCCCAGTTCTCCAAAGTGTGAACCCACCAGTAGAGTAGAGAGGTTCTACCACTTCATCCTTAGTACTATGCTTTAATCAAGTCCCAGATCGAATGAGCTATTTTGTGAGTGTTACATCACAACGCTGATTAATGAGCTTGCTTGCTCAAAAGTAAAACCCAAGTCTTTAACACCTGCTATTCAGAGGTCCAAACCTTCTGCCCCAATCATGACAATGCCTCACCTGAAATCTACTTACTAGTAATCTCCTGTATGGTAGCCTAGTCACAGCTTTTCACTTGAAGATCCAGACCCAAATACTACCAACCAGGCCTGACTTTCTTATGGTTACTGGTACTGATCAGCATATCTAATGTCAGCCAGGAATGATCAACATGGTAGGGGAGAAAATGTCATTCCAGAAAACACATAGTATCTTCCAACTACTGAATCACTCTTAGCTTTATATAATCTAAATTTAGACATGATAAAATAAGGACATTTTTCTATTTTCTATTATAAAGTGAGGACATTATTCATGAAGTTAACAATCATCCCTACAGTTCCCCAAGCTGAAAATCTCAACTTCTACCTCTCACCTCCATATATCCAATCAATCACACACTCTAATGCTTGTATCTTCCCTGTCACTCTCCCATTTCATGGCACTATAATTTCATCTAGATGACTAGAACAACCTGCTAACATGATTTACAAGATCCTTCATGCTTTGGCCTTTACCCAGCTCTTTGGCCTCATCTTTATATTTAGTAACCTCCCTTCTCTCACTATCCAGAACTGTGATATTGAATTACTCTGTTTTGTGTTTACATCATGTTTTACATCCTTTCTCTATCTAAAACATCTCTTTTTAAATATCTCCTTCCCCTTCATGCTAATGTTCACTCATTTGTCAGGTTTCAACTTAGATGTCGCTTCCTCAGAAAGTATTCCTGAGTCCTACCCAACCTGCAGTTGGATGAGGTACCCTTTCCTCTCTTCCTGGGAGCTCCCAAAGCACCTTGTACATCCTTCATCTTAGTTCTTGATTTTATTGCCACTTATTGGTCAGCATCCTTCACAAGACCATAAACTCTCAGATATCAAGAAATGTGCCTGTTTTATTCACTACTAAATATCAAGCAACTAGCATAGTGTTCAGAACATAATTGATATTCAAAATATATTTGATGAGAGTAACAGCAAGAAAGAATATGTGTATCAAAGGCACATAGGTGAATAAATATAAGACACAAGATTTTTAAAAATCCTATATAATAAAAGCCTAATATGCTGAGTCTGGTCGTCCAATCAACCAATCAAAGTGTAATATGCTAATGATATCCTAAGGCCGCTCAACCACTTGCTATGACATGCACTGACCACCAGGAGGCAGACAGTTGACCGGTCGACCCATCGCTATGACGTGCACTGACCACCAGGGGGCAGATGTTCGGACCGGTAGGTTAGCTTGCTGCGGGGGTCCAGCCAATCAGGACTGAGCGAGATGGGCCGGACACACCTTGGAGCCCTTCCACAGTCCCTCCCCAGCTGGCCAACCTTTCATGTACCTCCCCAACCCCGATTGTACACAAGTGGTGTCCCTTGGTCTAGCCTGCGCCCTCTAGCAATCCAGGACCCCTCAGGGGATGTCAGAGAGCTGGTTTCGGCCTGATCCCGCTCAATGCAGGAGATTCCCCCTGGTGGTCAGTGCGCTCCCACTGGAAGAGCGCTGCACAGCCAAACGCAGGGCTCATGGCTGGCAAGAACAGAGGCGGTGGCGGGAGCCTCTCCCACTTCTATGGCAGCACTAAGGACCCCTCAGGGGGATGTCCATCTGCCAGCAGGGAGCAAGCCTAAGCCCGCAGGCGGACATCCTCCGAGGAATCCTGGACTGTGAGAGGGCGCAGTCTGGGCTGAGGGAGAACACCACCACACCCTCCCGCCCAGTGCATGAATTTCATGAATGGGGCCTTTAGTAACTTTATAAAGGACTTAGACTTGCCTAACTTAAATTTGCAATATTACAAATAAAACTCTATATACCTAATAAAAACTACATAATAAAAGGTTAATTTGGTAAATATATAATCCATAAGTTACTGATGCATCTTCATTTAAATGTGTATAAAAATATCAGACCACTTTTCTTTAAAACAGTGCTATGATAACAGGTTGCAGATCCAAAATATTACAATGGCAAGATGTTATTCAAAGCAGTTGATATCCAGAAAAATAAAAAGTTGCTTGTGCCCTGGTAAGCACATAGGTCACTGATACCCACTGACAAGTAAAAAGAGTGCCTGGAGTCCAATACAACAATCCAATTTCAATAAGTAGAAAATAATTTGATACTTACTCACACAATACCACATATTTTTCAAGAGACTCAATCAGTAGTTTGCTATCGCCTTGATGAAAGTGCAGAGCAGGGAGAACGACATCATCCTTTAGACAGAATACCAAATACGACCAGCCCATACCCTCTTTGTTTTGCTTGATTGATTTCAGGTCTGTCAAACTGAACAGGAATGACCATTTGCTTTTCCCATTTCTTTGACTTGGAGTATCTTGAAAACAAGAAAGTGGGGCAAAATATTTTTGTTCACCTTTTTAAAAGGTACTGACAGTGCTCTTCATGATGGCCTAACAGAACTTTGTTGACCCTAGGGAATGACTATGCCATTCATATCACTATGGCTCCCACCTGTATTAAAAATGGCAACATATATTTTTTTTACGTTATTTTTTATTGTTTAAATAAAGTATTACAAATAGTAGTACATATGTCTCCTTTTTTTTTCCAATTGACCTTCCCCCAGCCTTTCCTACTCCCCAGCACATTCCCTCACCCCCCTCCCAGTGTCGTGTCCATTGTTTATACTTATTTTCTTTAAAAAATAATTTTTAAAATAATTATCCTATTGCACACAAACTAAAAAGGTTATCCCCATTTAAATATAAGCTTTGCCCAAAATGAACATGACTCTGGAAGCAGGCTGGCTGAATTCAAATTACAATCCCACAATCTTACTTAAGCGAATGATTTGGAGCAAATAACTGAATCTTTCTGAGTCTCAGTTTCATCATCTGTAAAATGAAGAGAATTATACTTACCTCACAATGTTATTCTAAGAATTAAAAGATATACTTGTCAACTAACTAGGTACAGTGCAAAGTATGTAGTGAATACTCAATATAATGTTAATACTGTCCACTCCCCCAAATATGAATGATGATGCTCTTGGAAAATCATTTAAAACAAAAACTTTTATTTCCGTCACTTCCATTGCAATTATTTTTACTGGACTACACTGAGTGAAGATAAGTATACCAGTATAAAAAAAAAAATATTGGGGTGAATAGCCAGACTTTTTTTTTGGCAAACACCCAAAGAACAGTGGGGAATTAAGGGTGAAATATAGCTAAGTTATAAATGCTTCAAAGAGACTGAATGCATTTAACCTTCCTGCTAAATCAATCATATACTAAATTAAAACCTCATTTCAAATCAAACTATAGATATGTAAAATAAAGCATTTTCTGAGTTTGTGGGCTGTTTATAGAAGCTTTAAATCCTAGATTTGTGAACAATATCATAATTGATAACAAGGAACTTAAAGATCATCCATTTAAATAAAAATTTAAAAAACAAAAAAATGTTTCTTCTCATTAATGTACAAAATTAGTTTCTAATCTAGTTATCATTTCAAATCATTTTATTTTAACATTTTAACTCAGACATAAGCATATCATGTTCCTAAAATTTTAAAAAACATTGTACCTAATGTTGTTTCCTAAGAAGTGTCATACTGTTATTCAAGCTCTTCTTTAATTCTGTCCCACACCATCAATTCTACAAGGATAAACTGCATAGATGATATATGCTTATAGAACTTGATCAAAGGGTAGATCTATTGGTGTTGACCTGCATGTATATCACCCTTTAATACAGTCAGGAACACAACAACTCCATCAACTCCAAAAAGACCTCCTACACTGACACAAAGAAATCTACAGCTTACAGAAATTGCTACCTTCAAGGAATGCAGGTACCATTCCTAGTTCATGGACACTTTAGCAAGTATCATTTCAAAGGAAGCCCAAAAAGGCTTAAGTAACATACCAGCTGGAATGGTGAACTCATATCTAAGGCTGGCACTAGATTAAGTGACATGTGCCCACTTGGCTGCTATATAACATGTTTTACTGGAATTTATATTATAGAGCTTATAACATTACTACAAACTGATATCAAAGTGAGAACAATACTAGTACAATTTCAATATCTTCATGAATCATTTAAGTGTGAATATACACTACCTATTACTATATTATCTGCAAAGAACAAAAATATTTTCACAGCAAAAGAGCAATGGAAAACTAGATATAAACAATTATTTAAATGAAATTCTTAAGTTACACAAAAAAGTACTGAACACAAATTAATGTAAGAAAATCACGTGGAGAACATTAAATAATATATGCAGGTTATATGAATCATCAGGAGTTTGTGCATATCCAAAACTAAAAATTTTACAGATTTTTTCATTAAAGGAAGAGACACACATTACATATTAAGTAAAACAGAATACACCTCACACATTTCCTCAGTTGAAATGCTGACAAATGATGAGATAAACATTGCAAGTCAATTCTAGAAGTCCCTTTTACTAGAATATAGCTTCATGAGAACAGGAATTTTATTTTGTCACAGCTATATCCCCAGCTCCTAGAAGAGTGACTACCATGTAATAGGTACTCAAAGATGTGTTGATAAATGAATAACTAAGACAAGTCAACAATTTAATCTATCATCAATAACTAACCAGAAAGTTGGTTACAAAGAAACAGAACCCAAGAGTTAGCTCAAAATTTCCTTCGTTTTCCTTACAGAAGGTAATAAAACTAATTGGTACTGATGAACTTACTATGTTACCAAATACGTATAAAAACATCTCCAAAACACTGACATGAGAAAACTGGCCATAACGCAGAAGAGTAAAACAAAGAGCTCAGTAAGTATCTATCCATGTCTTAAATAGAATTAACATCAAGGACATGACATTTTAGATGGGTTTGTAGAACATCATGTCAGTCTGTTGTTCTGGGAATATATATTTTCAAGACATTTATCTAGTACATAAAAGCAAATATTTAGCAGTAGAAACTCTTAAGAAATATAAAATTAAATAAATCTTCAATAGTCAATTTTTTAAAGGTTTGTCCCAAGTTTCCTTTGTGAATCACCAACAAGGGTAAAAATATTTGAAAAAAAATGCTTTTTAAAAATATAAAAATGACCCTGGCCAGTTTCTCAGTGGTTAGAGCACCGGCCCTCAGATGGAAGGGTCTCGGATTCAATTCCTGGTCAAGACATGTACCTCCGTTGCAGGTTCAAAACCCGGCCCCAGTCAGGGCACGTGCAGGAGGCAACCAATTAATGTCTCTCTTATATCAATGTTTCTCTCTCTCTCTCTCTCTCTCTCTCTCTCTTCTCTCTCTCTCTCTCTCTCTCTCACCCCCCCCTCCTCTCTTTCACTCTCTCTAAAAGATGAATGTAAAAAATATCCTTGGGTGAGGATTAAAAATGTAAATATATATGTAGTTTCATAATGGCACAATTTTGAATTCTGAAACATCAAGCCTAGAAAATGCCTCCTTTAGGAAGGAGCTTTGATAAAGTATAATCAGATAAGATAGTCTAGGACAGGATAGGATGGGACAGAGTGCATTGCACTTCATAACTCCTTGTTCAGCTGAATATATGTATGCATATTGGGCCATAATGTTCAATGTATTTCTTACTGCTATGCACAACCATAATTTTTTTTAAATACTGGGGAAAAAAGAAGAAAATCTTAACTTTTAATAACTACGAAATAAAATTATGCTCTTTACTTAGTAAGTCACAATGCATGGCCAAGCCATGTAAGCAATATTTACATCTGTGTTTTTTTGCTAAGCTATACAGAGGTTCTCAACTTCACACATTTAAATCACTAGGACAGTGGTCGGCAAACTGCGGCTTGCGAGCCACATGCGGCTCTTTGGCCCCTTGAGTGTGACTCTTCCACAAAATACCAACTTCTGCGCATGGGCCACGAAGTTTCAATCGCACTGTATGTGCGTGCCCGCACGTGGTATTTTGTGGAAGAGCCACACTCAAGGGGCCAAAGAGCCGCATGTGGCTCGTGAGCCGCAGTTTGCTGACCACTGCACTAGGAGATTTTGAAAAGTACAGATGTCCAGTTTCTATCTCCAGAGAATGATTTAATTTGCTGAATAAAAGCCAGGCATTAGTATTTTTTTTAAAAGTCTAATCTTCCCAAATAATTTCAATGTGCAAAGTTGAAAACCATTATTCTGAAAAAGATCTTTAGCCCTGGCCAGTGGCTCAATTGGTTGGAGCGTCATCCTGTTTTATACCAAAAGGTTGTGGATTCAATTCCCAGTCCTGGCACATACCTAGGTTGTGGGTTCGATCCCAGGTTGGGGCAAGTAGGGGAGGCAACTGATCGATGTTTCTGTCTCACATCATGTTTCTCTCTCCCCGTTTCCTCTCTCTCTAAAAAAACAAATAAATAAAATAAAAATATCTTTATTGTCACATTATACTTTTCTCATCCACATAATGCTTCTTTCTTCTATGGAATTCTGAAAACTAATTTTGCTCATTCCTGCAGTCTGACTTTTTCATTTTCAAGGATTTAACAGTATTAGGCAACAACGAACAAAAAATAGCAATTCACATAACCAATCCTAAAGATCTAGTCTAGAGAAGTTAAAAATCCCTCACCTGCCAAATATACTAAAATCCTGTGGTTTTATTTTTCCTTAACACTTTGCATTGCTCTGATTCTCTTTCAATAGAAAGAGAATTCCAATAAGTTAGTTAGTTAGTAAGTAAGTAAGTAAGTAAATAAATAAATAAATAAATAGAGGAACACACATGCATAAACTGATTGTCAATATCTTGTGAATTAATATTTATCTTAATTGCCACTGTTTCCAAGAAATGATACAGTTCAAAATGTAACTACTATTTATAATAATAATAGCGTAATATGCTAATTAGACCAGATGTCCTTCGATAAAGCCAGGGCTGCCAGGGAAGCCTGGGTCCTGGGTGCCAGAGGGAAGCCAGTGCCAGCAACTTGGAGAAGGAAGGCCTACTCTTGCATGAATTTCATGCATCAGGCCTCTAGTATATGAGAATAATTCCCCAGGCCATATATGAAAATCAATTTTACTTAGTAACAATGCTATATAAATGTAGCAACAGATACTCTAATAAATTTTGATAAACATGGATAAATTCCTATATTCAAACCAAAATCATTAAGACATAAAATATACTTTTAGTTATAAAACATAGGGGAATCAATAGGAAAAAAACATATACAAGTGTTTAATATTTTTAAAAGCAATCAACCACAAATAACCTGGCCATATCACAGATATGCTATACCATATTTGGAATAATATATGTGTTCTATCAGGCTGTTAGCTTGACTCTTTTTTGTTATCTACATGTAGATAATTACATATGGCAAACAGATTTAAATAAATATATATAAAACAGAATAATCACTGAACATATATAAAGGGGAGACTGCAATGAGCTGTTAAATTCCCAGTAAACACTGAAATTAGAATAGGATGGTTAGCAGTATACTTCATCTCCCCCTGGTGCTTTGGGATGAAATAACTTTCTTTTTTAAAAATTCTACTAGATTAAGAAAAATATGCATGAGAGACAACCAAAGCAATTTTCCAACATGTTTCTATTTTTTGCCATTAATAACTACAAAACAGAAAAAGGATTTTTAAAGCCTTTTTTATGAAGTCACAACCAACAAAACCAAACAAAGCAAAAAAGTGATGAAAAGAGAATATAACTAAAATGTAAGAGTTATCTGTATCAAAGCACCAAAGCATCCTTCTTCTCTGAGGAACATAAAGAACTTTCTTTGCACTTTTGTTTAAATAATATTGCAGCAAATCAGTTTAAGATTTCAACGATTTAATTCATACCTCCATTGGTATGTGGCTTCTTTTTAAATGAAACTGTATTAACCATGTCCCACTCTGCTTCGTAACTGTTCACATGTTCTGGTCCTCGATGAGCTCTTTCTTTTGGGGCCTGAGTCCATTCTACAACAGAACTGGAATCCTAAAATGATTATAACATATAAAATATTTAGAGACTAGAAGTAGAATTTAACTTCAATCAATAATGTCGTCTCAGCATCTACATAAATTAAATTTATACATTATGGCAGTCATCACTGGTGAGAAAATAGGAACACTATTTCCTGTCATTTCCTCCCTTGCCCAATCTTTACCATCGGGAGTACACCCGCACCTTTCCCATCCCCCTTCGCTTCCCCCCCAGTCCTGTTACACCTTTGCCTTTCCCTCTCCTAAGCCCCAAGGGCCCTTATTTTGCTTCTGTTGCTTGTTTCCTGAGCCTACACAGCCCAACTAGCTCACTTCTTCTATCTTTATAACTTTCTAAATAAACGTTCTCTTACAATTAGAAAAAAAAGAAAAGGGAAGGGAAGGAAAAGGGAGAAGATAAGCTTACCCAGATGCCTTGAAGTTAGGGTTGCCAATCCTATCTAATAAAGAGAGAATATGCTAATTGACCCTCACACTGCCACAAAGATGGTGGCACCCACAGCCAATAAGGAGGGAATATGCTAATCACGTGCCACACCCTCAAAGATGGCGGCACCCAATCCCCTCAGCCCCACCAGGGTGGCAGGCACATAGCGCCTCCAGAGTCCCCCAGACCTCTCAGCCCCCCACACACCCAGAGCCGGCCCAAGGGGCAGGCAAGCCTCGGATGGCCGCTGCCCAGCTGCCCAGGGCCAGCCCGAGGCACTGGCAAGCCTTGGATGGCAGCTACCCAGCCGACGCCCGAGGCACAGGCAAGCCTTGGATGGCA